TTTTTATATTGTTGTTTTATGTACATAAGTAGTGCACCAATGACACCAAGGCAATTTCCTGTATGTGCAAACATACTTGGCAAATAAAAGAATTCTGATTCTGATTCTGATTCTGATTGTCTGTGTGACCGTGGCTACAGATTATAGGTCAAACTCCAAAATGATTGTCTTGTGTTTTTGTGAAGATGCACAGATTGTGAGGAATCAAAGAGGGATGTTGTGAGTGCATGTTTGTACACAGCAGAGACTTACCTCCACCAAAAGGGGGTTATGTTTTCATCTGTGTTTATTGGTTATTATACAGGATTACTCAAAAAGTACTGCAGGAATTACCACGAAACCTTGGGGGAAAATGCAGAATTTTTTTTACATTTTGCTGTGGATCTGGATGAGGATCACATGTTTGTGTATTTATTGATTTTGATGAGATATAAATCAGACATATTTAAGGAGTTTGTGTCTATGAGTGTGTGATCCAGTCTTCAAATTTGGATATAATGAATTTAGATGTGGTTTCATAAAGGGACTGATGGGCCTTGGCAGATGTATCCACTATAGAGGTTCCTCCCAGATGCATTTATGACAGCAAGCAAACACCGCTGCCCAAAAACGATGCATGGAATATGCTTGTTGCTGTGGTACAACTAATCCAACAATCAGCATTTCATGTCATGTCATCATCTCACATGCAAGGGGCCTGAGGCGATGCAGCCACTGAACTGGAAGCTGAGGGAGTGAACAATGAGGGGGAAATGAATAATCCAGTGTGTTACGTATAGAGCTGCATAAAACCGAATCAGTGTACAACACAGATTGCACCGATGATGTAAGCTTGTTGTTGACTTTCCCAGTCTGAATGACTGAGCGGAGGAGAGGGGGGTGGGGTGTCATTAATCCATAGCTAGTGGTGACCAGACAGGCGGAAAGGAGGTGTAGTGGGGGATGGGCGAGCTCTTGTTATGACTGGTGCTTGGCTGTGGGACAAACTTCCAGAGGAGGCCTCGGTGTGTGTGTGTGTTTTGTCTTTTTCCATCTCATGGGTCGGTTCCAGTGGGGAAACGCGTCTCCGTGCTGATGTGACGGAGCAGCAGCTGATGTCCGATCACCGCTGGAGGACGGATGCTTTCTAACCGCAGGGGAACCAGGACGGGATGTTTTTCTGATCGCGTCTGGAGAATAGGTTAGTCGTCTCCGTGATCGCCGTGTGTCCTGGTTGCTGATCGCCGTGACTGTGGCATGAGGGTGTTGTCGAGTTTGAAGTGGCCCAGCTCCCTGTGCTGTGGTCGGTAAGGGGGACACGGTGAAGGCTGCCTCCTCCTCTTCCTCAGTCGTCACGGGTTAATCATTATATTGAGCCTCGGCGAGTGGCGCTTTGAAATAACAGTAGTTACAGGCGTCTCATTTCCGCATGTCGGGTCACCCTCACTGTGTTGAATACGTGAAGCCGTTGCTGGCTTCTCACCGCCTGGCGTTAGCTTTAATATCATAACCCGGCTATTAGCTTTCAATATATGTGCGAAAACTAACTGATCCGAACACATAGCATGGTCTGATGTGAACACACGAGCTGCGGAAGATATCGCCAGGCGAACAGTTATATCCAAGTAGGTACGAGATTACAGCAACACTGTCATTAGCATAGCATGCTAGTGCTAGCTCGCTGGTTCTTTTTAGTGGGGTGTAGAGTGCCAGCGACGGGTTTACGACCTCGTCAGAAATGCTATTTAAAATAAGCTAACCACGTTTTACGGCTGAAGGGTTGTGTGTAATGAGTACGACTGCTAACACACGCAGGGTGCAGCACGTTAGCTCGGTAGATAACTGGTTCAAATTGACGATATCTCGGAGCCCGTGTGGCATGTGAGGTGACGGCTACACAACTAAACTCGCACGTTAGCCGTGGTGCTAACGCGACCTAGCGTGTGGTACTACGCGTTTAAATAGGCTGGAGAGCAGGGGATGCTAATTACACAAGTGAGCGAGGTAAACAAAAAGAGAAAAGTGTTCAGTTGACAGCCGCCTGGAATAAGTTACGGTGGCCGACGAAGCCTGTTCCCAGGTCCCCGCGCACATCCACTCAGTGACCCGTGACATGTGGGCAATCCTCAACCGGCATTACATTGTAATAGGACTGAGTTGAATGAAGCCGGTAGATGCGACACGTGTGCACTAATATAAGAAGGCGTTAGATTCGGGCTTGCATCACGGTAATAAAGTGCACTTTGACTCATCCACTAGGACAACGGGAGCCACAGGTCCGTCTGCCTCCAACAGCGTGAGGGTTAACGGGCTCACTGTGGTCCGCGCAGCCCATTCACTGGCCACCGCGTGTGGGGGGATGGGTAGCGTATTTCCGCTTGTAGCTTACAGTGCTATTTTGCTAATTTAGCTACCGGCAGATTAGCATGGTGACATGCCTTGCTATGGATTTAACTTGCACGAAATCGGTGCGAGGGCCTGCGGCCACGTAGAACGCTATTGGCGACACAAACAAAGACACTGACTGGAGCTAGATTATAAATGAAAAGGAGCAGAACGCTGCGATCGTTGGCGCCAGTTTGTGATCAATCAGCAGAAGTGAGCTGTAGTCAGAAATCATACCGTTACTAAGTTAAACCGACGGTGGCGTGTCTGTGTTTTATTAACTTTGTACAATACAACAAAAAAAACACTTCACCTCTAATTACAGCCCTCCAGGGATGGTTCAATCACGCACTGCTCAAATATCTTCAGACTGTTTGGGCTTTTTTTTTTTTTTTTTTTTTCCCCCTAGAATTCTAAACTATTTTCCCCAACGTTCCCAGAGGAAAACATCAGTCTGAGGCTTTTTTTTTTTTTTTTGCTGACCCAGTTTCTGTCATTGTTTTTGTGACACGCCCCTTCGTGGAATAACACTTTCTCTGTCCCGCCTTTTCACCCACTGACACATCGCTGCTAAAATGTCCCCTCTAATTAAGACAGTTTCCTTCAGCACTGATAGGAAGCGACTGTCTGCCGTGACTATTTGACAAGGCCTGTTCTTCTTACTTGTGAATGTGTTGATCTGGCAGTACTTGGAAAAATAGGAAGTCACAGAACATATTTGGGAAATGGTCCAAAGTGGGAAACGCATCCCAAGCAGATAATAGATTTGTCCTTTTCTTGTTTGTCAAGGTATTCTACATGCAGCATATTTCATTATTCTCTTAATATTTACAAGTAAGTGATTTCTACCTGGAGAAATCTTTATTGTTGGTACAATGTAGAAACGATGTCCACCTATGATGGTTCTTAATTTTAATGAATGTGTTGGAGGAAGTAAATTCATTTTCTCTTCTGTTTTTCTCAGGGTCTGGGAGTTCTTGCAGAGGACAAGGGAGCTATGATGCGCCTTTGAAGACGTTGTGATCACATGGGTAGGGTATCTTACTAGACACGTTAATAACACCAATATTAGTCTAAGTCTTAGAATCAATCATTCAATCAAATTTTATCTGTATAGTCCATATTCACAAATCACAATTTTTCTTGTAGGGCTTAACAAGGTACGGCATCCTCGGTCGTTTTAACGGGGGGTTAACCTAGAAACTTCAGAGAGAGCCACATGTGAGGGATCCCTCTCCCAGGACAGACAGAAGTGCAACAGTGTAACTGAGAACATCAGCAAAATAACAGTATGTAGACATGCATACATCTTAATCACATTATAATGTCCTATTGGACTTTTCACAGCTTATCAATATACAGTAATTACCAATTGCTTGATGATGCATGCCATGGATTAGAGCGTAAACAATGTTGATGTGATTCATAATAAGACTATGCTCTGTAACATATAAACTGGAATATGAATGGAATATTCTATAAGCAACTCGTAAACATCATAATGGAAATAACATCTTATTTTAGAATACGGTCAATAGCTGGAATTTTGCTGTCCATGTAAACATAGTCTCTGATATATGTCACAGTTTCTTAGCATTTTGTTCCATGTACAAAAAATTGTTTTGCCTCTTTCTGTGGCTGCATACAGACTCTTGGAATCTCACATTACTATGACACAGTGTCAAGGATCAGGTTGAGAAGTGAATTTTGTTTTACATTCAACTAATGGGTGAATGGTGCACACAAATGCCTCACACAAAGCCATCAGTTTTAAGCATGTCTCAAAAATGCTTAGAACATGCAAATGTTTCATCTTGAAATATCTCAAACATCCAAGCTGTTTACATAACTGTTGCTGCAACCAAGAGTGCTGATAGGTGACCGCTACAACTGTTCACTGGCATGTAAGTGTAATGAATATCTTGTCATTTTGTCTAAACAATGAGCTGAGGTTAACTGTTGGAGACATTATTGTTGCGGCCTCAGATGAAGATAATGGTAAACGACATACACAGGTCCATTTTGTGAGAGAGTTTTCAGTTGACTTTTTTTGTCTGTACATTTGATTCACTTATTAGTTGTATTTCACACTGTATAAACAATTTAGATTTGTTTGGTTATAACTCAAGGCCCATCGGTATAACTTGTAGAAAGTGTGTGTTAGAAACATCACAAACGAGCCTGCATGCTCTCTGAATTTTTGAGGTTGTGCACAGCTCTGTGTGATAGTCGCATAAGAGCAATTACGCGTCAGTGGTGTCTGCAGCTGTTCCTGTGTGCGTATAACTTGGTCAACACTCAGTGTGAGTCCTACTTTGGCACAGTTCAAATATCTGGATGTCTGGTAATGTGAGACGGGTTTATGTCGGTGAGTTTAACGCTGGAATACGCTTTCGTGCAGTTTCATGCGGAGAGCTGTCACCCTGCGTCTCACAGTCAGCAGAGACTACATTCAGCAGTGTTGAGAATTAAGCTGCATTACGTATATATTAGTGTCTGTCCATTTGCATGCTCCCTCTCCTGATCGCCTACATGTTTCTCTCTCTCTCTCTCTCTCTCTCTCTCTCTCTCTCTCTCATTGATTCATACGTGTGTCTTAAATGACAGCATCACATCCCATGTTCATGTACTCATTAATATAGACACCGAACACATGTTCAAACTGCATCACTGTGTGGGTCTGAATGGAGCAATTGTTTTAACAGATATCCACCATATAGGCATACGTGATTTACAGCTGTGAATCAGGAAGTTGATGCTTTTGTTTGATCCACTTGAAAATGTAACACTGTAATCTTTAATGTTAACCAAGGGCCCTGAAAAGAAACTGCCTGTTGTTTAGACCTTTCTTCTGCTGAGTGAGCTGCTAATGAGGCTGTCCAATCCTATCTTTTCATGTCTACAGCTGGAAATAATGTAACTTGACAAGATTCAGTCCGTGAGGTGAGGATGGGTCATGTTCCTCCTGAGTCGAGTTAGCAGCTAAAACACTCCCTTGGAGAAAGGAGTTGTTTGTCTTTTCTGAATAAATGATGTCAATAGTAGTGTGTCAGTGTTCTTGATAGAGCTAACAATCAGTACTGAGGTTCATTAAACATTAAAACATATTGGACAGCATGATGAATTGCTTGAACTATTTGTGTAAGTAAGCTCTGATTCACTGCTGCTGCGTCACGTCATTTTGCTGGCACTCTTTGAAAGTGGGCTGGTATTAGATAAGCGCATAAGTGTTATATCAACATGATTACGGTGAACCTTAATAATAGCAAACATGATTGTTGGAATCATGTTGTGTTATGTAATTTACTGTTGGTATAACAGAGGTGTGTAAGATTTTCTGGCTGTTTCAAGCCATATGCTGTGTTCTACTGGTTGTGCTTCACTGTGGGAAACCTTCGCCATCAGGACTTTCTGACCACCTTGTTGGGGATTGCTGAAGGGCTTCTATTAGATTCCAGTCCTCTTGGTTTAGTTGGTCTTGGATCTCAGCCTCTGTGATGCGGTAGGAGTCATGTTGACTTTTTCAGTGGGCCGGCACGATGGAAACAGTAGAGGTTCTGTCCCTCGTCCAGACCCCTTGTTTATTTCCACAGTCCTGTTCAAACAGTGTGGGTTCTGCATGAATACATGTAGAGGCCTGACACAAGAGCTGCACAATGTGTTTTTGCTGAGGTTTAAAGCCAGTCTGTTCTAGACATTTTTGGTTCAAAATATCCCGCCTAGCTTGTGAAGTTTCATTGTAATTATTTCCAGTTGTAGTGAATACATGGAAAATGGTGCCCTGCCTACAGCCAGGAGGTTTCTGCATCCACCAACAGAGAGTTACAATATATTATTATTTATCTAGTGGCAAATCACAATTTTGTCTATTTCCCTTTTCTGAAGTTGCAAGATGTAGTTAAAGCTAGGTGATGTGGTTCTTTTTTCTTCCTCTTCTCTGTTTTCATCATGTGTGTCAGTTTGGGAATTAGCTCGTAGTGTAACACCATCCTCAGTGTGTGTCTGTGTGTGACACTCTACTCGCCTGGCTCAGTGCCACTGCATGTCATCTTACTTTTTATTATCCAGGTTATGTTTCTGTGGGATGTGAATGCTCATAGCTGATGAAGATACTTTGAAGATACAAGTCAAAGTTAGTTTCAGCTCATGTCTGTGATGTGTAACACCAAATCATGCTCTGTGGTTTGTTTTGACAGGCTCCTATGCTGTGCTGACCCAATGGTTTGATCACCAGGACTAAAAATGAGCATAAGCAGCGATGAGGTCAATTTCCTGGTTTACAGATACCTGCAAGAGTCAGGTGAGTTGCACTAGTTTTAGTACATTAAATAATTTTAAATGAAATACTGATCATGACTCCCTGGTATTGAACTTTAAATTAATTCAGATGTTTATATTTACATGGACGACAGACTGTGCCCCAAAAGCAGAGCCAAAGCTTTTCAATCGCCACCTAGTGGCTGGCTGCCATATAGGTCATAAATCCCACCTCCTCCGTGTAAATATTTGGGACCTGGCCCACACAAAAAGTCAAAGTATATGTTAAATACATTTCAGATACTTAAGGTAGTTCTTACCACACTGTTTTGTTTAAATCTTTCCAATAAGTTTGTTTTTAATTAGTTATTTGATGCTATAGAATCGGGATGAAACGTCATGATTGACAGCCAAGACTGACTTCTGATAGGTTGACTGTGTGTATCAACTGGACCATGATAAACCACGATCGCTGCTGCACAGACTCTGACTCCAAATGTACAAGAGGGCTGCGTTCGTATCCAGGGTATTCTAGCTTCGCTTCTAGATAGTGAGAGGAAGTGGAGACGTGTCGTCCATCTTTATACACAGTCTTTGTTCCTACTTTCTTAACGATACTGCTTCCACCAGGCTTCTCCCACTCGGCATTCACCTTTGGCATAGAGAGCCACATCAGTCAGTCCAACATCAATGGAGCCCTGGTGCCCCCTGCTGCCCTCATCTCCATCATCCAGAAGGGCCTGCAGTATGTGGAGGCTGAAGTCAGCATCAATGAGGTCAGGCACCATTTACACCATCAGCTACTAATTAGTGTAATTTACAAAACGCTGGCAAGAAGAAGTCCACTGTCAGCATGATGTTTTGACTCAGGTGTGCCTGTAGGTCAAAATGTTACTTTGCTGACTTACAATAATGTCAATTAACAATAAATCTCTTCCTACATGAGCAAAGTCTGGTTATATAAAGCTGCATGTTTTCTGTGTAGGATGGAACCTTATTTGACGGGCGGCCCATCGAGTCGCTGTCCCTGATTGATGCCGTGATGCCAGATGTTGTGCAGACCAGACAGCAGGCCTATAGGGACAAGCTGGCCCAGCAGCAGCAGCAGGCGGCAGGCAGTTGCAGCAGCACAGGACCCCAGGGAAGCACGAAAAACGGAGAGGGTGCTGCCAATGGGGAGGAAAACGGATCCCACGCCTTAGCCAGTAAGCTAGCTCATGGTTGTTCAGCCTCTGAATCAGTTTCTTAGCAAAGAGCTGTGTTTTCTTGCGTTTGTGTGAGGAATCCCTTTTTTTTTTCATGATCTTATGAACGATTTTATTTTGGAACTAAATGCTGTGGCAGCAAGATGAACGTTTATGTGGAACTTTGCAAGCAGTCTGGGATTGTCTGACACTGACGGTTATATAAATGATGTCATGTAGGATAATACCACAGGAGAAAGTTGACACATTTATCAAAGTCCAAAATATTTAATAAAATAATATATGAAATTATAAAATATATAATATCTTGCTATAACATTAGCTTACTCACTTTCTTATGTTACACTCAGTGCCTACCTTATTCGCACACTGTCTTTTGTATATACACTCTTGGCCTTTCAACAGTAGTATAGCCTGCCTGTTATGCCGCAGCTGATCGCCCACATGTCAGCTGTTCAGGCTGGTATTCGCTCAGTGTAGCACTGTTTACTTGACTCCTCAAGAAACACTGGTGTCACTAGCCTGTTTGGATTAACAGCATTAGACGAAGATAGTGTGTTGCTGTGGGACTGACACTTCTTAGAAAATTAGATGATGTCACACTTTAAAAAAAAAACAATTTTGCTGGTTAGTATATTTTGCTGATCTACAAAGCTTTTACATGGGAACACCGATTATTCATCTCAACAGGCTGTAGACTATTTAACTGGAAACATGATTCATTACATCTTACAAGGTTTTCACGGGGACAACCAAAAAGCCTATGATTTAATACTCTCAATTGAAGTCCTAAAAATGTTAAAATATTATTAATATTATTATGCGCTAGGTCTAAAATGTGTTTAAGTAGGTCTTGATTATGTTAACATTTAATTAACACTACCGCTGTACTTATATGAACCACTTGCTATCCCTTCTATCTACCTTCAGAACAGTGGGACTGATAAATGTTTTGTTTGTGCTTCTCACTCCTTCCCATAGATCACCACTCAGAGATGATGGAGGTTGATCGAGATGTGGAGATCCCCCAGAGTAAAGCCATGGTCCTGAGGGGCCACGAGTCTGAGGTTTTCATCTGTGCCTGGAACCCAGTGAATGACCTCCTCGCCTCTGGGTCAGTATCAACACATCATGCCTCTGTCTGTGTGGTTCCTCATGCAGTGTTAAAAATAGACCAGAAAAGTGTCACTCCTCCAGGACTCTAACGACATGTAATGCATTAGTTTATCTTACTAAAGTTAGTTATTTGTTATCAATGCATTCCTTTGACCCAGAATAGATTGAGTTGTTTAACTTATTAAAACATCCAATGAAAATCATGTTTTTATCCTTATTTCCCTTTGATGACACATATCGCTGAAATAAACAGTCAATGCCACTGCTGAGTATTTTCACCTTGCAACTGCAGCGTAACAATGACAGCCAGACATCATCATAGACGTAGTCCCATAAACATTTATCCAATATCAGCAACACATTATTATCTGTATTGTAGAGAATCGTCCCGATACGTCGATTTGAAGCAAGGGCTACGTTACCACTATTTTGTCAGTTCACACCTGGCTTTAGAATGTGTGTCCAGATGATGGCAAAGACTAAATGTTTAGTTTTTTGTCTCGGGCAGGTCTGGAGACTCAACAGCACGGATCTGGAACCTGAGTGAGAACAGCACAGGTGGATCCACCCAGCTGGTCCTGAGGCACTGCATTCGGGAAGGGGGCCAGGATGTACCCAGCAACAAAGACGTCACCTCACTAGACTGGAATGTGAGTGTGTGTGTGTAGTACAGTAAGATTGTGTGCGTCTGCTCAACTGAGCGCAGATTTGTAGTAATCTAATCTAGTGCCGTGTGTGCATGCCTGTGGCCACTACTTCTGCGAAAGACATTCATTCTAACCAGATATATGGGAGAGAGTCACTCTCACAGGGGAACAGGCATTTAAGCTATTCAGCTTCAAACTATTTTTCCCTGAGTATTACAACTAAATGCACAACACCACATAAGCCCTAATATCTTATCTTTATTTAACTATTTATTACTCAGAAGAGCCTCATGAATAAGGATGATGTAATTTATCTGTACAATAATGAACAAATCTGAACCAAAAATACGCAAATTAAAGGGGAAAAGATTTAATGTGACTCACTGCAGATGAATAAAAAGATCTTTGTCTCTTTCAGAGTGAGGGAACGTTGCTAGCAACAGGTTCATATGATGGCTTTGCTAGAATATGGACAAAAGATGGTAAGACTTAGCATATATTACAGCAATGTATTTGTGGCCTTTGTTGGTTTTTGTTGTCTTTCAAAGTTGCATTGGGTTTTTTTATATTTTCAGGTAACCTGGCCAGTACTCTGGGTCAACACAAAGGTCCTATATTTGCACTCAAGTGGAATAAGAAAGGAAACTTCATCCTCAGTGCTGGTGTTGACAAGGTAAAGCATGTTGATTTTAACCGTGGTTTTGAAAAAGCTGCTTAAATACCCCCAGGGTTTGGGAGCAGTGCAACTTTTCCAAAATATGAAAGTTTCTTGAACCGTTATGTTGTTATTGTCTCATGGACCCCCCTGAATATTACCATCTTATCTCAACCCCATTCAGAAAAGATTAAAGCAGCATTTCGTAGTGGTTGAATGTTGGTGCTGTTGTCATGAAGATTGTTTCTCATTTTGTTAACTCCCCGATCCAAACAGAATAAAATAACAAATTTTTGCTCATTTTAGAAAGGACGCCAGAAGAAAACGTGCTCTTTTGGTCTTGATTCGATTTTCATGCAACAATGGGGTGGAAATTAGATTCGATTCGATTTTTTTATTTGTACTTTTGCGTACTTTGCTTAATTAACAGAGTCCTTACAGAGTAAGAGCACCATCAGACGTACTTGAATGTTTCAGTGTTGTAACTCACTCTACAGAGAAGAGCATCAGCAAATGCTTTGTTGCCTAGCAATGTGGTTTTTTTCTTTGTTTGTTGGCTACAGCCACTGTTGATTGTTGTTTAAACATCTCCTTATCTGTTTCCTTTTTTTTCTGATGATAATTCTACAGGAAGTGACAGGTTATTTGATGTCTTTAGCTTGATATTGTTCTCTAATACCTGCTATGGAGACATGTAATGAACAATATCCAGTTGTATGCATAGGTTTCAAAATGCCTGACAGGAATTTAGTGGTTCTTTTCACTGCAATTCTCATCTGCAACAAGAACAGCCATATATGCATTGAAATACTATGAAAATACCAGGGCATGGACACTTAGTACGAATATTATTATCTCAGATTTTCATCAATACAAATACAAATAAATGTCCACAAATGATAGAAAAATTTGACCTGATAATTATTTCATTTAAACTAAGTTTTCTTCAGTATCATAAGCAATTGAGTGATAGTTGTCCATGCCATCCATGAGTACATTGCAAACCAGAAAAAGAAAATTCTCAACCAATAAAGATGACTCACTAAATCCCCCCACCTCCCCCAGAGAAATAAATCCAATAAAGCTTTACTTTTCTATATTTCTTGTAGGTAAAAAACACAGGAAGGTCATTACTTTTATTTAGGATAGGATATTAGTCGACCAGCTGCATTGGAGGGTTGAAATTGTACAGAAATGTGTAATGGTTTAATAGGTTGGTGTTTTGTCTTTATGTCTACTAAAGCACATGTCGAAGATGAACGGTTTTCCAAGATACAACTTTCCTAAGATGTTAAAGGCAACTTTTCATGGGTATTTCAAATTCTATTTTGTTGGGTCACTATTTGCTCTCGAGGATTAGAGAGTTGGAAAAAGTCTTTAATAGCTAATGTTCCCTGGAGAGCTGTATTCTGAATTGACGTTGTGGATTTGAGGTTGTAGTTAGCAATGAAATATTCAGCCAGACAATAATCGATAATGAAAGAGAGACAAAATTACAGCCAGAGTTAGCAAATAAATAAAAATAATCTGTGCGCATCAGTTATGGTAGGGTGTGATGCATTTCTATCAAGCAGCGGTCTCTCTTTGTTGTCGCAGCAAACCATTCATGGACCTTGGGCAACATTGCCATCTAGTGTACTAAAATCAAATAACACACCGTGTCATCTACATGATAGGATACACATAAATACTGAAGCGAAGTTGTCTTGCAGGTATAAAAAGGCCTGAGATCTGTCGATATACATATATTTTATTGTGTGTGGGTAATGTAAATTGTGTATAAGTAATGATTAATAATAGAAATATCCTCCTCTGCACAGACCACAATTATTTGGGATGCACACACAGGAGAGGCAAAGCAACAATTTCCTTTCCACTCTGGTGAGTAACAAGACTTCATTCAGCGGTTTCTGTTTTCAGAACTTCTGCCATTTTTTCTGTCATCAAATCTTTCAACACATAGCGACTGATACCTTTGACTCTGTCATATTCAACATATCTGAACATCTTTTGCAAAGCAGCTCTTTCTCTGTGACAATGTTTAGCTTGTTGGAGTGTGACAGTAACAGACCTGGCCCTCTGATGTATTTACAAATTGTATTTTAAGGCTTTAAACCAACTATCTGCACTTTAAGTATTGTTGTAGTACAGTCAGAGTGTGTCAATAAGAAATCTTCAATTAGTCCATCATATTCACATGTTGTGCTTTCTTATGTTCTGCTTGTACATGTCAGTGCTGCTGCATCCCATAGCTCTGTCTCTGCCTCCCAACAGCACCTGCTCTGGACGTAGACTGGCAGAGCAACAACACGTTTGCCTCCTGCAGCACAGACATGTGTATCCATGTGTGTAAGCTGGGTCAGGACAGACCTGTCAAGACCTTCCAGGGACACACGGTAAGACAAAAGTGTTCAGTGTGTGAGGAGGAAGGGAAATGAGAAGACAAACCAAAGTTACAGTTTTCAGCACAATCTCTTAAACTGATTATCACAATGTTATTATCAAATTGGCTGCTGCCTGTGTTCATATTATATTTGGTGTGTTTTGTTTCTAATCACCTTTTACTCGTGGCAGAATGAGGTCAACGCCATCAAGTGGGATCCCACTGGCAGCTTGCTGGCCTCGTGCTCTGATGACATGACGCTCAAGGTCAGTTCACACAATGCACAACTTAAGTGAATGTCACCTAATGCCCAAGAAAATGTATAAATCTGCCTCAATCAGACAGTTTGAAGAAAAGCGTTTTATATTATGTTATGAGCAAACTAACAGCTGCTTTATATCGTCACCTCACACAGATCTGGAGTATGAAACAGGATTTGTGTGTACACGACCTCCAGGCTCACAATAAAGAAATCTACACAATCAAGTGGAGCCCCACAGGCCCCGGGACCAACAACCCCAATGCCAACCTCATGTTGGCCAGGTAAGAAGACAACAGCAGCAGTTTTCACTTTTCTTCTACTTGTGTCATTTGACTGAACTGTGACAAAGTAATTTGTGTTTATAGATACAAGATGACACCAACAGTATGACATCCATGTAAGCCTACATTGAGAAAGAAACAAATAGCTAATGATAAATTGTATTCTTTGTTACAATTGTTAGTCACCACACCTGCCTAGATTTATATATTTTTTTAAATAGAAGCTGATCAGTCACCTGGCAAAAAATTGGTGATGTGACACTTTCACAGTGTGAAATGTGAAAAATGCAGTTATGAAAACTTTTATTTTACAGTCACTGCAGACATAATGTGCATTTATGTTTGCATTTTACATAAAGCTCATGGTCAAACAGTTAAATGTCAAGCCTAAATTACATTTATTTGCCACCTCCACTGGCTCCTGATCAAGGCCAGCATCAACTACCAACTCTACCTTCTCACCTATAAATCCCTCCACGCTCTAGCCCCACCATATCTAACCGACCTCCTCCACCCCTTCAATCCGCTCAGAATGTCTTCAAACACATGTTTTATCTCCATCCCCGACACCAAACTGTGAACCTTTGGAGACAGAGCCTTTTGTGTCGCAGCCCCCACCCTCTAGAACTGACCCCGCTGAAATCCACAACGCTGCATCTCTGGACACTCAAATACTCAAACCCCACCTGTACACTCAGCCCACAAAAATTCAGATAGGTCAAAGTTTTTATTTGCTCGTGAGGATTTTGTATCTGAGTTGTGAGATAGTTGACACAACAGTGACTCAATTATTTATATTTAATCACTCTGATGAAGCGATTAACCATGTATAATTTTAATTTATTGAAGCTGTCATGTCCTGTTTACATACTGTACTTTACAGCTGTGCTACATGGCACCTTATTTTCATGCCACTCGACACAGAGCCCACTTTGGATTCCTTTTCTCTTTCCCTCTCTCCAGCGCATCATTTGACTCAACAGTGCGTCTGTGGGACGTAGAGCGCGGCGTGTGTATCCACACACTGACCCGCCACCAGGAGCCAGTCTACAGCGTCGCCTTCAGCCCTGATGGCAGGCATCTCGCCAGCGGCTCCTTCGACAAGTGTGTCCACATCTGGAACACTCAGGTGTGGGATGACTGCAGATCAACAAGTACAGTTCTAAAACTTTACAAAAAAGATTGCTTGCAATTGCTAACATGTGTTTTGGTTTCCTCAGACGGGTGCTTTAGTTCACAGCTACCGGGGAACAGGAGGGATCTTCGAGGTGTGCTGGAACGCCACTGGGGACAAAGTAGGAGCTAGCGCGTCAGATGGATCGGTGAGTTGCATCACACACGTAGCAGCCACTCTGATCTCTGTGTGCAACACTAACACCTGCCTACTGAAATATGGACTTTGTAGCTCAAATTTGTGAATAAAAAGTTAGACTCAGGCAAATGGCTGCCACAAAATGTGGTGATGGTGTCTGATCAGACTCATGATTGACTAAAAGTTCCGATTAACTTCTGCTACAGAGAAGTTTAGTGGTTGACTCATGACACAGGGCTTCCTTGTTTCAGTCATGTGAAACATACATGGCTAAAACAACAGTCACATGAGATTGTTGACTAATCCAAGAGTGTGTCAATTCATGATAGGGTTAGCCTCTTGAATGAAAGTCCAGTTGTCGCTGCAGTGCCAGTAGTTAACAGAAGATGGAGCCACTAGGGTCCAAAATGTGATACAAGCACAACAGCTTGGCAAGAAGCCTGTGATCAGGGAGGCAACTCATCAGTCAGTTATCTCTGCTCGAGATGCTGGACAGACGCCTCTGCAGAGTTACATTTTGCATTCATTCATTTTTTTGCCAAGTAACACTGAGGGACATGATTAAAAAATGTGATGTGGGAGAAATTCTCCACTTTGGCACAAACTCTTTGACATGCTGTTGGCAACAGGTACTTAAGAACTGCCCAGGGGTGGAGAATAGCAAAGGGGAGCCCTTAAAGAAAATCTGCATCACAGTTCACACTGTGGCACAATAACTCATAGCTAAGACACACTTTGAGGTGGTTTTGGAACAAGAATCTGATTGTCAATAAGCAATAATCAGGTCTTTAACTCAGCCAAACAGAGGAGCAGAGAACATTTGATGTGGAAAATGAATTCAATTCCTGAATAAAGCCTCTGAATGTGTCCAGTCTCCAATTCCTATATTCATGGACAAGACAAAAGGAGGTGTATAAATATTCAACTGTTACTACAAACAATCGTTTGGTCTTAACAAGTCATTGATGCTCTTCAGTAAATTTACCTGTGACTCAATAATTCCAAACAAAACCTGAATTAAATTTTGTCCCTGCCTGTGTGAGTTCAGCAGAAACTGAAACTCTTGCGGTAGAGTTTGTGTGTAACTCTCCTTCCTTTTTTCCAGGTTTGTGTATTAGACCTGAGGAAATGACACTCGTTTGGGGGGAACCGTGGACCGACTACGAATGTGTATATAGCCAAAATGACTGACTGTCCCTGCCTGTCCGGCACACTGCTGTAGTCCCATCAGATGCAATGGCCTGCCATTACAGCCCCACCCTCTCACAGACCTGCAGGAAGAAAAATGTGATCACTCAGTATAATCATGTTGGACCCATCGTACACAAACCAAAACACCAGGATTCTTCTTGCTTTGCTCTTTTTATCCTTTGTACCAGGTTTATAAAGATGCTTGTTTTTTGCTGGCCTGTGCATATTGCACATGTCAGCGTCTGGTGTCCTGTGGACATTGTTGAATTTGGATTTTACTGATCTCTGTAGGTTTTATATGACGAGTGGGTTGGGAGAGAAGGGAGGGGTTGGGGTGTGGGAGTGGTTTGTCGTTTACAGTGAGTGTTCAAAGCTGTTCATTGGGCGATCCGCTCATCTTGTTCTCGGCACTATGTCAAGCTCAGAAGATGAAAGCATTGACAATTTTGTCGACTGTTTTTACAAAGTGTGAAGCAGTCTGTCAAAGAGTGAACTGTCCTTTGTTTTTGCAACTTTAATCCTCAAAAATGGTTTTCAGGTGTTAATTCATCAGGTTAATATGAATCTCTAAAGAATACAAAACCTCTACGGCTGTAACTTCATGTTGATATCATGTTCTAACAGTGTGCTGGGTGAATGTGTGGACAGCTTGAGGTTCACGTCATTGAAACAGAGCTCGTCGGGCTTTGTTTGTCATCAGTGAGGTAATGTGACACAGTGATCGCTTATTTTTTGACATCTGTGCTGTCTCTGGGATGTGTAGGGAAAGAGAGGGCGGGAGAGAGATGCAGGAAAACAAGTCCATAACAGCTTGAATTCATCTGACGTAAAGTAATAATTAGTCATAATTGTGTGTTTCTTCAGTTAATAGCTTGTTGCTATCCAGTGCTGAAAGGTAATCGGACTAAGTTGGTCTAGTTGTGTCCTATTTCCTCTGCTTAGTCATTAAAACAACGCATCTTCATCTGCAGTATCACTTCCTCATCGCACCTTCGTAAAAACACGACACCACATTCGCTCACATGACGACAGCGATTTGACTTGTCGAGTTGAGTTCGTTGTCAACATTGTCACACTTTCACTCTGTAACATGTGAAGATTTTCAGACCCAGTGTTGAGTACACACTACAGTCTTTGGTTTTCTGTTGTCAGGCAGTTGTTGCCCAGCATTAACAGATACACACACACACACACACACACACACACACACACACACACACACACACTCTGGAGACGGGCTGCGTTCAGGCCTATGCACAGATAGACAGTGCTTTTGTTTGTAGTGTTCAGAGTTGCCGTTTTGAGGCAGTTCTGCGCTTGTTGTTAAAAAGCAGACTCACAGCATATGACTTGATGTAACATGGTATCTGCATATAATATATATATAAATATATATATCTGTGCTATCACAGGGGATTCTTTTGTATGCCACTTGTGTGCTGAGGGTGGATTTTAAAGTAACTTTTTGAAGACACTTGAAATACAGTATGTGATGTTGCTGTGCATCACCAGAGGTCGTGACCATGACGTTTTGTTTTTTATAAAATACCATTAAACAGTCATAGTGAAACAAGAGAACTGACCCTTTTGAAGGGCGTTTTTTTCTTCCTCTGCACTTTAGGCTAAAAATTGAGAACCAGGGAGATGTGTTTATTCAAGCCATCACAGACACATCTAATGTTTGAAATGCTCTTAAAGATGAATCAGCTGAAAGTGTTGCAGCGGGGAAACAAGGGTAATAGTGTCCTGTCTGACTCCTCGGGGGGGTTAAGTGGAACCAAGCCAACTTCATGGCATTCCAGGTCTCGTCCCTTAGCCATGACTAACATCAAAAGGCTCAAAATACACAAACATACATTGTCAGACATTTTCTTTAGAATGTTACTTGTTAAAAACTAAAAATTGTACTGAAGCTAAAGAATATTTTGAAGTTTGCTTTAATACAGTCAGCAGTGATTGGACTGTAACACAAAGACTATTTCAAATGATGTCTATGACAGTGGAATGGTATTTTATAATGGTTAGTTTTTAGATGATACGTTTTTTACACTGCATTCAAGTGTGTTTTGTTCTTACAGAAAGTACTAATGTCAACTCTATCTTTGCTATGTCGGAGAGCCCTTGAAGGTTTTGTACTTCTCAAAACTTTTGTAATTCTGATTTATTTGTAGCTATGTACTCAAAATGAACAAAAAAGATATAATTTGGATCTAATTGTTGATGTATAACACAGAACATGTAAATACCAATTTACAAATTTTTTTGTGTCGTCTTTGCCCTCACTTATGTTGTACTCTTCTCTCTCACTCACATGGTTGCCGTGTGCAGCCTCCTGATCTGACTGTTGTAATATCACTCAGATCGCAAGGTCTAGAATAAAATCTATTTTGATAATATCAGTTTGTTCACTCATTTGTTTCACTCTGCTGCACCAACTGTCTTCACTCAGTGAGTAAAGTTATGCGTGGGTGGGGCACACCAGTATAAAATGTATGTTAAAGGTCATGTATGCACTAAACACCACATACATAGAAAAATTGTGTTTTCCGATTCAACCCAAATAACGTCATGGATTTCTCTGATTTAAATTGCGTTATATAGACACGTGTATGTCTTAATCACATTCTAACATTCTCTTGGATCTCTCACAGCATATGGCAACAGAAACATATGACCGTTACCAACTGGATGACGACGCATGCCCTGGGTTCAAGTGTGAATATGAATGGAATATTATATATATGCTACTAATGTAAACATCATAATCAAAATAATGCATTATTCTGAATAACGTCAATAGACCATGCATAGATCCATGTCAACAAAGTAAGTGTGGTCTAAAGCTCCACCTTAGCTGTGATTCTGACATTTTTGTGTTCCTGAGATAAAAAATGTCACATTCTTTTTTTTAATCTAAAGACCGATTTTTGCTCCTGAGTGAAGGTTGTGGCTTTAAACTCTTCTTTATGAGCAGAGAATGACAAACACGTTAAATAGGATTCAGAGCATGTGGACCTGATTCAAAGGATACAAATAATAACACACAACCCTCAGAGGATAATGAGTAGATAATGGACCGCTGGATGTCAAACAAATGTGCAGCAGCATGGTCTCAGAAAAAACCAGTCCATTATATAACCGCCACACCTCTGAACTCCTTCCGTGCAGCGCATGGTGAATCTCTCAATAGTCTGACTTTCAAACCTGAACATCGTCTTTTCCTGTCAAACCTGAAAAACGAATCTTTCCATTTCCTCATTGAGAGACGTGAAATGAAAATACTTACTGGAATGATTTCATGTGTGGAGATTTAAATGAGGAGGAAATACAAGCACAGTTGGACATTAGTTGGTAACACAGGGCCTGTCAGTGTCAAGAGATCGACAGCGATCTGTCCTTGAAATGAAATATTACTGACATGGATTCATCCTCAGCTCAGAGTTAAATCTATTCGGTGTTCATCTTAATAAAACTGACTGTGGACATGAATGTATGGTTGTCAGTTGCACATTCACCACAAATTACTGCAACCACAAAACACAAATAAAAACTGAGTCATGCTTTTGACAAAATACGTTAATCTATGAAGTCAATCTTTGTCAATCCTACCTTCTCATCAGTCATTGCATATTATTGGAAATGATAAGGTTTTAATAAAATAATAAAATGTGGTTTTTAGATTTCCTGCCTGTCTTTCCTGACCCATGTCCCATCCTTTCATCACAATTCCATAAAGTCACATAAGCTGTTTTTGCATAATCCTGCTACATGACGGATAAATGATGAAAACGAAACCTCCTTGATAGAAATAACAAAACACCAAACGCTGTCAAATCAATGTTATCTGTCATCTAGATGTTGGGTGGTTACCAAATTAACTTCTTCCTGTAAGAGATTGCTTCAGTGCCATGTTAAAAATATGGAGGAGTGATATAAAAAAATCTGTCACAGAAAATGAATGTGGAAATATAAAGTGGAACAAATAAAAATAATAAATAACTTAGTAATCATTCAAAAATGTGGAAGTTTAAAGACAAATCTTAAAATAAGAATAATTCAAGCAGTTGAATTAAATTCAGTCGTCTGTGCAGTCTGTTCACTGACCTCCGTCTGTTGCACAGTTTATATCTAACAGAAGTGTAGCAGCCTGAGAGAGGGGGAGGAAGACTGCATATGTTTGTGGTTGACTTGGCGCAAACAAGCAAAAGTAATCATGAAAATCAAAAGTAATGAGAGGTTCAAATGCAAAC